AGCATCTTTCTAGTCTTCCAACCACTCTACGCTAGATGTCACATTCACACACAAATTCACCGATGGCACAGCATCAGGAGCAAGTATGGGTTCAGTATCTTCCCCAAGACCACTTCAACATCCAGCGGGAGGAGCCGGGGATCGAACCGACAACCTTCTGATTAGCAGGCGGTTCACCGTATGACTTAAGCCACAGCCGTGCATCTATGGGATGGATTGCCATGAGATTTGGTGCCCACCTGTCTTTTCCTGTCACGCCACCAGCAGGTCAGACTTTTCACGTACATCAACTCGATCAATTAGCACAAAATGTTGTTCAGACATTCATGGTTTCCAGATCTTAACAATCCCCTGACCTTTACTCTCATGCCACTATAAGGTTCATATTCGTGGATTTGAATGAAATATCTCGACAACTATTGGATGTATTGTGATGAAATCTGCTTCAGATATTCATGTTCTTCCTGTTTGGATGCTAGCGACATTATCAGGTCAGAATTTGTCTTATATTTTATACCTACACAACTAATGCTATTCCCATCATTCTCAGCTGAAATGAGCTCTGAGTTGAAAGTTTATGCCAAAGTGCAATTTTCTCTTTTTAAATGTGTCGCATTTCTACTTTCTCTCTATGTCAGTGGGAAGCAGTTAAATCACTGAGTAAATTTACTTTCTGGCTGCAACATTTGACCTTTTCCTTTCCATCAGATTTTGATATTATCCAGCAGGAACTTTCCAAAACATTTAATCCACAAGGGAAGAGCTCCTCAGTCACACTCGCTCCACCATCTGTCACTGTGTCTGCTCACCTTCACCAGTTTGATGGATCTGATTTATATAGCTGCTTAACATTTCTCCCGTCTTTGATGTGCCATGATAGAAATATTAACTATGTGACAGAACTGACAAGCATGTGGCCATTGATACATTTCAATGTCTGATCCTACAAGTACAAGGGTTCCCTTTCCAGCCAGCACCAAAGATATGCCTCTAAAGATACAAAATTAAATAATAAAATAATACATGCAACTCTTAATAATAAAAATGGCTCAGATATAGAAACAAAGACAGAGTAAAGAAGCACTTTATGTTGATAGTCAGCTGTGGAGAGTGAGGTTGTCCTTCGGGGTGAGTGGAAAATCAAACCGGTCAAACTCAAAGACCAACAACAAGAAGTGACCCCGTGAACCTGAAGTGTTGTTGACCTTTATGTGCCAGAGGCCCTTCGCAGCCTCTTTGACGGAGCTGTCTGTGCATTTTAGACACAAAGTCACAAAGTCTGACAGCACTCTGCTGAGCCTGTGTGGAAGTTTGCTGTGAGCCTTTGAAGGGTCGACTTCAGAGAGCTTACCTGAGTGGTCAGGTGACAGACAAAAAAAACCCTCAGAGCGATGCTGTGTTTATTCAGGTTGATTCCACCATGTTTCCTTCTTCAGTCCCAGTAGATTGTTGCGATTTGAAAGGGCTGATTTCAAGGCAGTTTTTGGAAAAAAATTGCCATGCATTTTGCGATGTTTTAATGAAATGTGGAGAAAAGTGGAAAATTGCAAAAATAGTTGCTTTTTTTGGTCAAATTCATTCGAAATTGTTAATAATAATTGAAATCTCAATACATTTTACTCAGGTTCTTTGAATAATCATGATATTTTGTTTACTACTCTAACACTGCCCACACAATATGTCCAATTTCTGCTGACAACAATTCTCTCTCTATTTAACTCAATATTTATTTTTTCTTCCTGAACCAACTTCATGATCTGGTCTGGCTGACAGCAACGTGACAAGATGACAGTGAAGAATGTGAGTCAGTCATATCACATTATATGTTACTGATGCTCATAATTGTAACGTCAGAAAAAAATCTGCATCTTTTGTATTTGAGGTTTCAAGCAGAACATTGCAACCATGTTAAACCAACATGGATCGAGTTCCTCGTCCATAAACTGTGAACTGGGACTCACTGGAAAAGTTAAAGAGTTCATTTCATTCAGCGTGCACGCAACTTTTCATAAATTGAGATTTCTCACAGTCCATGACATTTCTAATTATCTCACACACTCTTCAGAAGTTTGGGTGGGCGTTAGCTGAATAGGAACATATAATTTAGGATAAGTGGAATGAATCCAGTGCATCTAAGCTTAATTTCATAATGGCACCAGATTTCATTTGATCTTGTGTCTTAGCTTTCATTTCATGTTCCTGTGTTTCTCCCTGTGTCTGAGCTCTGGTCTTAGTGATCTCTTTGACCCCAGTAGCTGCAGAGCCAGGTGGTTGCAGTGTACCTTGGCAGTGTCCTCAGTCTCTTGTTATAGTATATTAAACATGACAGAGGATATGTGGTCCTTCCTGGAACCAGCAACAGCTGGAGATGAACGCTGACTCTGCAGCCCACTTTTCTCCTTTTTTTTTTGTTTGATATGGATTCAGTCCTTCCCCAAGGCATGCTTATTTAAACATTTTATTGAAACAACACAGGGGTTGTCAGGGGGCAACCAAAACATGTGCTCTTGTAAGGCAGCCTCAATCTCTCAAATAAAAGGTTCAAATATTAGAGTGTTTTAATTTGAAATAAAGACAATGCTTTATTTTGAATTGCCCTATTTAGCATCATTAGCAGTATACATGTTTAAAAATGGTCTATTACACATTATAATGAAGTTATAACCAGCAAATAAAGGTCTTGGTAAGTGTTTTATTTGTATTATGTATTTGTTTAACTAATTAATTGTAAAATACATCTTAATTCAATAATATTTAAAATGCTGCATATTAATAAACAATTGTTTATAAAGTGCTTAAAATTAAAAATGGGACGACATTAAAGTGAAGTGTGAAATCAGACATGAGGTTCAACCTATGAACAATGACTGTGGCAAGTGAAATATTTTATGATTGTGATGTCCTGAAAGGCAATTTCCTGTGGTTGTGATTTTCTCTTCAGTAGAGACAGACTGTAAGTTTAGGAAGGAGGAAGAAGTAGAAGTAGAAGTGGAAGAAGAAGCGTATACAGGAGGGTTTTGTGCTTCAGAAAACCTCTCGGCTTAGTTCAAATTCTCTGCCACACATGACAAACGGACTTGTTTGCAAAGGCTCATGCTGAAGTGAGGGTCTCCTCTGCGTCTCTCTGCTGCTCTGTGAAAGGATCCACTGATGAAGGTTTGAGACTCAACTTTTACCACATTTTATGTAAAAGATGTTTTCTCTGTGAACAGTGTAGACGCCGGTTTGCTGAAAGATTTGACAGATTATTACTGATTGATTGATGATGCCTGTTGAAGGTTCTTTATGAGACTGCATGTTAAGTTCTCCTCAGGAGTTTTGCTGCCTCAGCGAACTTCAGCGAAGCAGTGGACAATTACTAAAGTATGAAGACTTTAGTGAAAGCTTAATTTCAGTATCAATAACATAACTACCAGTTTGCATCTTTTATCTCAAACTAATTAACAGAACTCCTTTTGACCCTCTACCACATATCACACACTCTCTCAGTTATAAGTATGATCATTTTTCACATTAAAATCTTTCTGGTGAATCCGTTGAGGAGCTAAAGTGGGCATAATGTTGCATTTTGGGGTGGAAGGCAAAGATACATGTGTTTGTGCCATAAAAGAGTTTAATTACATTATGTACCATCTTTAAATCAAGTTAACTAGCTGTAAAAAATACAACCATGCATGAATCTCTTTAGTATAATAAAATGTAAATATAATTGATGACTTAAGGATAGATTTTATTTTAAATTTATTCCTTAAAATGACCTAATTAATATTCATAATAACAGCTTCCCTGTGAAACGTTTTAGCTCTTTCAGCTCATTGTTTTGGTTTTATGGAACTCAGTTTTACTGTTTTTGGTTCACTCTCATCAGCGTCATCTCCAGCCACCGCAGCAGCAGGCAGGCAGCAAACCCCCAATACACTACCTTTCCAGCACCAGGCGTCAGACAGACACAGTTAGCGAGTAGCTGTTGAACATAGTGGAGAGTTTAAGAGAAAGAAACTGAGCTAAAAGGAGAGTGAATATTGGATTTACATTTGACTTCTTATTTGCAAAGTTGTGCAGCTTGTTTAGATGTAATATGTTGTATAACAATGACCCTCTGCTATCGCACAGGCAGAAGTGGTGACAGGTAGGTTTTATGGTCTAAATGGGAGAAAGGAACCTGATAGAGTGGTTGAGTCTTTTAATTGTCAAACTCTTCACCGGTTTGAGGTTCTTATGATGTCTGATCGTAACATAAACTTGTGCTCAGAGTTGTGCAGGGATGTGGTGCAGCTGCAGCCTCCTCCTCCACAGGGCTCAGATGGGTGCTGCCTGTGCTCAGCTCCTGTTGGCTGCCACCCTGTGGATGATGCCTCACATGGGAGCCTCTGCTGCCGCTGCTGTGCTGTCGACCTCCACAGAGCTGCTCAACATGACCAGAGCTGGAGCAGAAACACAGTCTGACTTCAGGATGCTCACTGGAGCTGTCAGTGCTCCTCGCAGCAGGCGTAAACGAGCCATTTCATCCAGAGAGATCAACGCCCTGCTGGATTACCACAACCGGGTCCGCTCTCAGGTCTTCCCCACCGCAGCTAATATGGAGTTAATGGTGAGGAAACACTGGATAGTGAATCAGACCAGGGACACATGGAAGTTTTTGGTTGGTTTATCTTCAAATAATAACAACTTTCTGGTGTCCTGGACACACCTGGCCCTCTTTAACAGCTCAGAAAACAATAACAATGTTAAATTTCACCTTTATAATTCATGATTTTAATTTAAGTCTCTAATTTAATGAGAGCTGCTTATTATTTACCTAACAACTTGTGTCAGAAGTCAGAATGTTACATTACTGTAGGTATGTTTGGTGTCTCAGAGACCCCAGCTTTAAATCCTGCTTAAAAATGTTGGATTTTAATATCCTTTATATCTGTAATTGGTGTTAACGAATTATTATTTTTTACACAGCACAACTCCTCCCAAATCTCAAACAAGACTATTTGGATTTTTGTTTTTGGATTTTTATTAACAGTTGTGTCTAACAAGGCTCTTGGCTGACCCCAAACATAGTAATGTCAATATGTAGGATACTGCAATTTTTTTGTTTTTGAATGACTCTTTGGGGAACAAAGGGAATATATATGTTTTTACATATAGCTCATATAACATATAACATATAACATATTTAATATATTCTTATTAAGTGTAATTTCATTGCTTTATGGTAATTTACAGTCATTCATCAAATGTTTGTGAAAACAGGAAGGGTTACCACTTAGATAATAGATAACCCCAAACAATGAGGAAATACAAGTAAAAAGACATAAAACCACACCTGATCCCTCAAATGTTTATAATATATTCTGCATCCAAACAAACTGAAGGAGAACAGGTGACACAAAACAACATTTTCTTGCTTATTTTGATTTCTTTTGTAATTTTCTTACTGAACAGAGTAAAAAATGAACAACCCCTGCCTCTCTCTTTTTCTCTCTCTTTCATGGCTCTACAGCTCTGGGATGAGGGACTCGCGAAGTCAGCTGACTCTTGGGCGTCACGATGCATTTGGGATCATGGTCCGACACAAGCCATGAAATACATGGGCCAAAACCTGTCAGTCACAACAGGAAGGTAGTGCAGAGCTCGATACAGAGAATCATCTCTTTTATGTACGCATTATGGTTTTAACAACAACACATATGGATGAGTAATTGGATACTTGTTGGATGTGACAGGTACCAGTCCATCACTGATCTGGTCAGGTCCTGGTACGATGAGAGACATCACTTCTCCTTCCCGAACAGATGCAGCGGGTCTGTATGCTCTCACTACACACAGGTAGGTAGATTGAAGGAGTCCAGATGGATTTGTTCATTTTGTGAATTCACAGACTCCACGTTCCCAATGAATTAAGTCTAAGCTGACAGTTTTGCTCCTGTAGGATGCTGTAACTATGATACAATATAATGATAGTAAGGGCTAAATAAACCCCTTTCTCCATTTATATACTGTAAATATGGACAGATGAGTTAATACGTGTGTTTTTGCAATGAACTGAACACTGAAGACAATCAGTATTTGTTGACTCCCTAAAAAAATTCCCCTGTCATTCTTATTTAGGGAGTGTATGAAAATTAGCAGAGTCGGGGAGGGGTCAGAAAAGGTGGCGGTTATGTATTATTTAAATTCTTGCTGAAGGGAGGATGGTTTGTGAAGGCTCATCCTCATCCCAGATTTGGTCACACCTCAGATCTGCAAAAAAATTGGGTTACTTATTAGTAGATTAAAATAAATGTAGGCCAGGGGCGTAAAGTTGGGGGCCAGTTCCCAACTTCCTAATCCCTAATTACAGCGCCCTTGCTCGGATCACACCCATTGTTTTTGGACTGCATCTTGCACAGTTGACCAAATCTGTCCACAGACATGTAAACACCTGGCTAAGTACCCAACATGCTTCTGTGGTACACACAGACTCACAAGGGGAAAACAACAACATCCCCACACTGTTGTGACGGATAATAACCGTGGGGAGGACTGTGTGTTTTATAGATGAATTTAAGATTCAGACCCCTAACCCCACCAAAATAATTTTTATTTAGTCTCTTACAAATCATTAAATCTGTTGCTGTATTTTGACATCAAGCCTTAATTAGAGAACATAAGAATCAGAATCAGAATCAGATTTAGATTTATTTAAGACATAATCAAGTAACTTTTTTAATGTGCTTTTTGTAAGTGGACATATGAATGGTGTCAATTAATGGATATGAGCATTATAATGTGCTTTGTGTTTCCTCTCAGATGGTGTGGGCGAGCACCAACAAAGTTGGATGTGCTGTCAGGAAGTGCTCTAATATGTTTGTGTTCGGGAGCACCTGGAGGGAGGCAACACTCCTGGTGTGCAACTACTCTATAAAGTAAGAAGGGGGCAACTGCTCAATTTTCCATTAATCCAGTCTTGACCTTAGTGTCTATAAGTGCAGGTATTTGTTACTCTGATAGAACATTTCAATCTGCACAAAACAGGACTACTCACAAAAAGTAGTTTTTTATTGTCTTTACTGATCATCGACTATTTAAGAAGAGAAAACAATTCAAAACCCATCCCTTGGACAGATGGTGTGCATGGTAACATTGTGGTTTTAAAACACAGCAGATACATTATCATCAGAAAAGTAAAATGTATATAAATCTGTAAATTCTATAGTTTTCTTGTAGTCAAATCCAATGAAAAGACGAAAAACAACAATGAATTGAAATAAAAACAAGTATAGAGGAAAGCCTGATATATTTTATTCCTCAAGTATTGAGAGATAGACTAACACATTGTTGGTTTTGGTCTTATCATGGGAAATCCTTTGACAGGTATTGGTCCAAATACATAAAAAAAAATGCATACAATGCTTTATTGGTAACATAATGTTTATTTGTGTTTCAGAGGAAACTGGGTGGGAGAGGCTCCCTATAAGAGCGGGAAGCCTTGTTCTGTCTGTCCGTCCAGCTACGGTGGCTCCTGCTGGAGAAACCAGTGCTCACCAAACACAAAACCCAAAAGACGTACAAGATATTAACATGACCAAGTGTTTTTAATTGTGTTTTAATGGAGGTGAAAGAAAGACATAATTCATGTAAGGTTTAACCAACGGGGCTGCAAAATAAGACAGTTGTGGCAACATATAAAGTGATGCAGCTGTTCAGTTACCACTATGTTCAAAGTAAATCTTTATTAATGACTGTTTCACACACAAGTGAGTTGATGTAGTGGTATGAATGTTTATATCTGTATTGCTGTTGGTCATCCACAGGCCACAAAAAACAAAATAATGTTACAAGAACAGAAGTCTTTTATTGGGTGAAATAGTTGCCTGTTTTCCTTAAGAGTTTTTGCACTGTTATTGATGAATTTGTTCGTTTTGAGTGACCTTTGAGAAGCATTCACCAAAAATTAAGCACTTTTTGTTCTACAGATTATACTTGCTGTAACTTTGGATTTGTTATTGATTCTCTTTCTAATAATGCTTTGTGTGAAAAACCCTCGAGGTATTCCCACAGTAAACTGAAATGTGTTTGATTCATGATTGTTGGTTTGGCTGACTGAACAATAATTAAGTTATAAATAACTGATGACGCTGTATATCCCTATAAATAATCTGCTGTTCACTGCTTGTGTTTATTCACTGCTGCTGCAGGAAATTTTCTGTCCTGCATTTCACCTCATTACATCTCTCGGTTCGCCCCTCAGGGACTCTCTCCGTCATAAAACAGGGGACTAATGCAGCTTTTATGGTCTAAAATACGAGGGAATCAGCTGTGCCTTCTAGCAAATTCATGAAAACACACACACACACACACACACACACGGCCAGTAACAGCAAACGTGTAAAAAATATTTTATATGTAAACCATTTTTGCCCAGCAAACAAATAAAGTTCCTTACAAACAAGTGTAAAGAGCAACCTAACTCAGCACTTTGGTGACTGTATTTTATTAATTTTTATTTTATTGCTTATTTGTATCGTGACTTACACTAATAGCCTAAGCAAATTTGCAATGCCCGTCCCTATGGGACTTTAAAATATATAAAACTCAACAAATACACTATAGACAAGACAAAACACCAACTCAACAATAAGTATGTATATTAAAAACACAGAAGTCAGCAAGAAAAACAGAACAATACAGACACAAAATAATACATTAAAGCACCATGAAACAGCAGATCATTCATGACTTTAAACTGATCCCTCTTCAAAAACAGTTTCTGTTTGAGTATAAAATGATCCCAGTCAGGATCCAGTTTGACTTCTTTAGGTAAGGAATTCCACATTTTGATCCCCCCCGAACAGAAACTCCTGTTGGTTGGTCCATAACATTACTGAGCACCTGGGCGGCCTGGTTCATGTAGGCATGTATAGATCAATTTAAGATGAGCAAATGTAATAAAATTATTAAAACTGATTTAATTTCCTAAGAACAGCAGTAATGTGGTCTTATCAACTTCCTGTTGTTGCTCGATTGTATATCATCATAAGGTTATTGTAGATGCTGCTTGTGACCAAGAGGTTACACAACAACTTAAATTTCCAGTTGGTCACATTTAAGAGGATCTACTGGCAGAAAATTAATATAATATTCATTGTTATGTTTTCTTTAGTGTACAATCACCTGAATATAGGATTTGTTGTGTTTTTGTCACCTTAGAATGAGACATGTTTATCTACAGGTTGCCTTCCATGGCTGCCATATCTCTACAGCTCAGAATGGACAAACCAAACACTTGCTTTAGAAATGGCCTTTCACATTATCTCTTGCACACTTTACAGCCCGTCCTCATTCCCAGGTTGTCAAATACAGATGTGAGCGGTGTTCAGTTTGTTGCAATCTGCAGCTTCACTGCTAGATGCCACTAAACCCATTAATCTTCAGATTTAACTCATTAGCTTATTTCAAGTACTGGAAGAAAAGCAAAGTTCTCTTAACAAACAATGCCGCTGTAGCTTGTAAATGATGTGACGGCTGTGTGGAGATACATATATAACTGTATCATCTGCATACATTTGGAAACCTGTTCCAAGACATGATTGATCATTTATATATAAACTAAAAAAAAGAATGGACCAAGAACAGAACGCTGCGGAACTCCTGTTTCAGTTTTTAAGAGAGATTTCTCTTTATTAATAATAACACACAGTTGGAAAGATTTAAACTACAGTAATATTTTATCACAGAAAAATAATGAATAGGAATGTTTATTTGGCAGCTTTAGATCCAGAACTGAAGAGTTGCTGTAATTTATCATCTGTGTGAGAGAAAGGTTTCGTTCACAGTGCTGGTTATTATAGATTTTACATCTGTTGGTTTTAACACCAATAAAATAAATATAAATATATATAAATATAAAAATTACAGGCAGTCTTAGTCAGGTGCTAGCTATGCTAGCTTAGCATAAAGACTAGAAACAGAGGCAAACTGTTAGCCTGGCTCTATCTGAAGGTAACAAAAGTATTCAGCTCTTAACCTCGGTATTTAACATGCTATATCTAAGCTAGGCTAACTGCTTGCTGGCTGTAGCTACATGTACAGATATGGGAGTCCTACTCTCATCTAGAATACATACAGAAAGGTGCATTTCCCATAATTCTAACTTTTTATTAGGAGACACACAACACATAAAGACCATAAAAACACCGGTCATGTTGATGTATCCTGAATATGTCTTAATATTGACCAGCTTGTCTGAGTAAATCATGTTAAACACCAACATTACTGAAATACTGACTGAAATTTTAAAAGCCTGTTTGCCTGCAGCTGGTATCCGTTTCTGACAGAGGAAATAACATTTTAAAATTAGATTTCAGTGGGTGTCTTGCTCACCACAGGTGATTCAGGCCCAATCACAATGACAGCTAAGCAGTAAGTGACTTTTTTCCCCTCAGTCAAAACAAAACTGATGACGTCACTCATCATACACAGTTTGCTCGCTGCCACCCTCAGTACATTCTCCACTCCTCTCTGTCTTTTATGTCACTCCCCACCCTCTCGCTTTTTCTCTCCTTTTTGTATAAACTCAGTTTCTTATTCTATGCTCTTATTCACTCCTAATCTGTATGTGGAGAAACTGATGTTTGGTGATGAGAAAGAGCGAAAGGAACATGATAACTTTATGTCTATTTGAGTTTCTATCATCATGTTGCCTTAGTTACAGCTGCTATATAGATTGGTGTCCATACGAGCCTGGTTACTGTTTAACCTCCCCACCCACATTTGCCCAGATTAGGAAAATCAATAAGATAACAGCGGCAACACCGGCCTTACCTTGCACCAACAACACCCTTCTCACACTACAGCACCCTGCGCCAAACTTCCACATTTTACACCTTATGGTGAGGGAGGAAAAGGTGGATGTAAAACACATGCTTGAGAGGAAGCAGAGGACGACATGGTCAATGTAAACACACAAGTCAGTTCAAGTATGGAACTTCCATTAGGTGAGTACACACTTTTACTGTTTTAATGCTGAGTGACAAAAAAAAGAAGAAGGTAGAAGGTAGCAGCTGCTTGCTTTTTCTTTCTTTTCGGTGGTTTGTGCAGCAGCAGTTTGCTCTGCTGGATCAGATTCAGAGTGGAAATATCATCGCCATTTGTGTCTGCCTTTTTCACACGACTGTAATCCAGGAGGTGTGTCAGAGAAATGGAGGTTGTTAAAAAAGGGCCATGGGAGCCAGGCCTGATGGTGATGATGGTACAGAGGTTTTGAGATGTCAGAGCTGTTCGAGTACATCGAGTCTGAAGGGGGTTCACAGGGGGGTTTGAAATGATTTGGACATGATGTTGGTGCAGTTTTGAGAAGCTGCTGTAGTGGATGAAGTCAGGGTGTGTTTTTAATCTCAGTGGTGGAAGAATTACTCAGATCCTTTATTTAAATAAAAGTAGAATGGTTTAAAAATATTCAATTAAAAGTAAAAGTCCTGCATTGAAAATGTTATGTAAGTAAAGATAAAAAAGTAAAAGTAAGAAAGTAAAAGTACTCATTATGCAGAATTGTTATGTTATTATAGAATAGTTTTATCTCCACCTGGGGATCATGTGTTTGGTTGTGTGTGTGTGTGTATCTGTCCGCAGCTTATCTCGCATGCTACTGGACCAATCACCATCATATTTTGTGCACTTTTATGACTGTATGCTCAAGAAGCTTTTGTGGTTGCGGTGAATCACAAGTTTTGAAAACCTTTTTTTACTGACTTCTCTGTTACATAGCTAAAGGCAATCGGCTAGGCTAAAAACAAGGATTACTTTCTCTGTTGCAGGCCCCATTTTTGGCCTTTCCTCTCCTCTTGAACCAGAGCATCTGCAGATGTTATGATCCACTCAAGTTAGATACGATAGGAAATGAATAAGACCCCCATTTTTGTTTTCTTCGCCACCCTCTTGACTGTAAGGGAGTCGATATAGATCCTGTAACACATTATGATTGGCTGTACGTCGGAAGGTGTACAGATGGTGTGTGTTTGTGCTGCAGATACAAAATATAAAATTGACTGTTTGTGTAGAGAAAGAAATATACAGCTACTAAAATGTAAATGCCAAACAGGTTTGTGTAGAGTTTACTACGTATAAAGGCCTATACATGTATATTACTATATATCCAACCTTAGATGTAATTCCCTGAGCTCTTTATAGGAAAGGCAGTATTTGAGTTACAAATATACACACAACAACAAGAGAGGCCGAGGATCCAGTGATGTCGAGGCATTTAAAAAAAAGGAAAATATGAAATGCAAGATTAAAGTTGTCAATGAAAGAACAGTCTAATTTGACTCAGTAGTCTGGAGTGTGTTTAGCATCCGTACACTTTCCTACGTAACATCATCTGTACATGCAGGAGCCTGAGCGGATCTGCAGGCTGAGCTCTGCAGTCCACTGAGGTCACTGTTCTCGTATTATTCTGTTCTCATCAGTAACAAAGACACGTGAGAGCATTTTAATGTAGTTTGTCAATGTGGAGCCAATTGCTTTGTATATTACTGGGTAGGTTAGTGGCACCTTCTGCATCACATAATATAACTGTGTTAACTGTGAACACCAAATAAATGTAGTGGAGTAAAAAGTACAGCATTGAAGTTTAAAGTAGTAACTGAAAACACTGAAAAATTAAAAAAGCTTAGATGAAACTTTGATGAAGTTCACATATTGCTATGGCCACTGAACAAACATAGAACAAACACAACAAGTTCTTTAACATCACAGAAATCCCCATCAGTCACATCTCTCTTCACACTGCTGCTACTGGCTACTTCTGTTCCCCGTGTGATGTCTGTTTTGAACCATGTCATTGAAAGCAAATGCCCCACTGTACTACCTCTCACACCAGCTTTCAAGTACAGCAGTTGATGGGGGTTTTGACTCTCATGGTCACTGAATGATTTGCATGTCACACTGGGGGTGGAGATGCAAATTCATTTTCACAAAGCTCTGGATTGATTAAAGTGGTTGTCCTTAAACAGATGTCACTGTATAAAGTCTGCAGAGTGGAAGGTTTTCTTGAAGCTCTGAGAGTTTTTTTTGTTAAATAGTTTAATGGTTCATCTTAGATTTTACAACAGGTTTATCCTACACCTCTACTGCATTAATCCATCAGTATTACACCTGCTGCATGCACAGAGAGCGGTGCAGCAAAATTCATCCTTTTAGTCAGTTTGTGACACTGTTTTCTTGTTCATCCAAACATCACCATGTGATCAGACAGTGATGCGTAAAATGAACTTGATCGTACATCTTAAAATATGATAATAAATAACTGTAGCGCGAATTATTTGGTTTGGCATCCCCCCTCACATTAGGCG